ATTTTTGAAATCATTGCCTTCTTTTCATATCTTATTTTGTGTATCAGCCAATAAGTTTTCAGATAGCAGCTTTAAATTTATTTTAGTTCTTTTTTAACATTTTATGTTTTCTAACTCAATTTCTGCTTTTAGCCGCTCTCTCTCATTCCTTTCACATTCCTTCAGGAGTTATTTTTTTGGTTTTCACATTTTCCTGAGTTAGATGCTTAATTCATTTATTTTCATTCTTTCATTTTTCTTGATTTAAGTGCTTTAGCTCTATCCCACTTGTGATATGTAGCATTTTTTTCATTATTGCTGTTTTGTAGGAATTTTATAATTTTGTTTTCTCTTTCCTCTTTTCTGTAAGATGTTAGTTTTAACTTTGACATTTTCAAATGCTGATCTTTCTGATAATTATAGATGAGTCTTAGCCCTCTGTAAATATTCTGTATATAGATAGTGCAAGTCTGTAGTTCAGCCAGAGCCTTTGACCCAGGGCACCTCCCAGAATGGCACTTTGTGAGCAATATTTTAAAAATTTTCAGGGGGAGTGATGCTTTATTGGAGGATGTTTATGTTTCTATTGCCAGGTTGCAATTTGAAATGGTGTGTATGCATCTGCTGTATAGTATATTTGATGTTAAAAAGATGCAAAAAAATTATAAATTATAAATACCATTAGAGACAAATTTTAGGTTCTCTTCTAAAGTGCAGTTTATTTAAAATAGAGGTTTATATTTGGGAGAATTTTTTCCTAGGAGCACTGATTAGATATGTATCATCAATAGGAAAGCTTGTGTTCGTGCTATTTGGAGATGTCATCTCAGCTTTCTTAAGAAAGAATTCTGAAAATGTCTTTTTGTGAAATGCAGGAAAAGAGAAAGATTCCTGTATTTCCCAATGGATCTGCCCCCACCTCGGGTGACCCTCCTAAAGAGGCAGCTCATCACGCCGGGCCCGAGCTGCAGAGGACTGGACGGTAGGTACAAATCCTGAAGCTGTGAGGAGAGCTTTTGTGGGGCCAGGGGTTGATGTGATGTACTAGACATAAACATTCTTTTTCTTTCCAAGTATTTGGAACATAGTCTTGTACAATTTTTTTAAGTATATATTTTTAAATGTGCACTATTATATAGGTATATTATGTAAAGGAAAATTACATGCTTTTTAAAACCATTTTAATAGCGTATCTTGGGTTCAAGCTTTAATTTAAAATGAAAATACTGGGCCAGATGATGAGAATACTGCACAGTTATATAGTATGTAGGTTAATCCCCATTGCCTGTACAAAAGGTTCTTGAAAAAGGTGTAGAATCCTATTACAATTTCCAGTACCAAGATAGAGAATTATGGGAACAAAGAGGAATTATAACTAAAGATTTTTCTGTATGTGAAACCCCTTAATTGAACATTCTGTCATGACGTCAGGTCAGAGTAGATAGAAAAACATGATTAAGTGATGATAATGACCTGTGGAAACTTGGTTAGAAAAATTGTTTAAGAAGTTAATTTTTTGAATAAAGAATAGAAATATTGCCAGATGCAAACACTGTCATAAAATGTTTTGTAGAAGTAGACAAATATTGTGCTATTTCCAGAATGTAGAAAATCATGTGGATATTGATGTTCTATTGTCCACTGGTGGTTACTGTGGAACTAGAAGATCTTGAATCTCCAATCTCTGTTTACAAAACCAGGCTATCTTATACAGACACATTATTTGGGATAAAGAGACTTTTGATAAAGTGCCTAAGGGTACTATATATAAGAAAATAAATAACAACTGGCATACTGAATGTAGACTTTAGAGAAACTTAAACTCACAATTAATTCATTCACTAATGTGTTAGTCTCTGAATACAGTAGAGAGTAAGACTCTGTGCTAACAGTGCTTGTTCACACTTTGCCAAATCCTGTAGAGAGGACCCTGTAGACTGAGCAGTGTTAGTCATTGAGAAACACCAGGGCAGGCTCACATTGATTTCAGAGTCACCCCAGAGTCTCACAGAGACATCTGTTAAATAATCAGTTCTTCATCTGATGATGTAGATTCACTTTCTAGATGATCAGTGACACCTTTTATTGCAAGCCGATTCTCCTTGCTGTTAGATTAATTTGTAGGATAACTTGTGCAACCTGTCAGTGTGTGTTTAGGATTGATTTCAGTATTAGCTTAAGAAGAATAAATTAGTTTGGAAAAGCTTGAAAAATCCCAGCATTTGAGAGCTTAAGATGAATTTTTTTCCATCAAGTTTCTTGCAGTAGAGATTTGAATGATTATATATTTTATAAGTCACAAAACCTTTTGGAATTTTTGCTTCAGTCACTGGTATTTGTTGAGTTGCCTGCTATGTCCCAGACAGTGTTTTAGACACAGAAGCATGGCAGTCTCTACTCCTCGCAGAGCTTTTATTTTAGTTAGATGTTTCCAAGTTAAATGTTTTCACAAGTCTGATTAAAAATAAATTGAAATGCTGTGCAAATATACATTTTAATCTACTAATTAAAACTTGGTTTTACTCATATGCACAGTAGTTTGACTACATGTACAGTAAATTAAATTAAAATAGTTTTCAGGTTTGTTTTTGTTTGTTTGTTTGGTTTTTACCTAGATGGAGGTGTTTATGTGATTGAAGTACTAATTTTAAGAGTTATCATTTACTTTACTACTCAGTGCATCTAAGCCGAGCATACTGTGTTCACATTAAAGAGGATTTGGGGACCTAAGATTTGTTAACAGTTGCCACCTTATACTTCTCATGCTTGCTATTAAAATTTAATGATGTGGATAATAGTTAATAGAATTGCTTATGCACATTTTGATGAATGGGATGTTAGATTTTATTTATTTTTATTGTACATTTCCTTGCACCTTTTTGTCCAAAATTACATTTACTCATATAAAATCATTTGCCTATAGTCTTTTGAGTAAATAGTCCATAAATACAGTTGTTTATGTCTCTTTTTACTTAATGAGATCTACCTTCCCTCTATCATCAGTGGATTAGATTAAATTTAGTATATCTTCTACAGTTTATACTATGACTTAAATTGGATTTTAATTTTTGTTGACAAAGCACTAGGTATCAGCAGTCTTTTGTAGCCCATAGTTTTAGTTTGAACTAGCTAGAATCCTCTAGTGTACAGTTTGACGAGTTTCATCTCACCTATTTAGGCTTTTTGGTGGTTTGATACTTGACATCAAAAGGAAAGCACCTTTTTTCTTGAGTGACTTCAAGGATGCATTAAGCCTGCAGTGCCTGGCCTCGATTCTTTTCCTATACTGTGCCTGTATGTCTCCTGTAATCACTTTTGGAGGGCTGCTTGGAGAAGCTACAGAAGGCAGAATAGTGAGTACAAAGATTGGTAGTAGCCAGGCTCTTAGCTCTTCAGAGGCAAGTGTCTGTATGCATTTGTCTCGCAATTCACACTTCTATCTGAGGAGTCTCCCAACAGCACGATTAACCTGTCCCAAAGCAGACTTCCCCCAAAGGTAATTGCTATGGAAAACATGGGGAAGCCATTTGAACAGGAGAAGATGCACAGTTGAGGTAAAAAGAAAAACAATGTTTATCCTGGCTTGCTGGATGAATGGTTTTATAAATTGAGTAAAAGGCTTGCATTTTCTTTGTTGGGGGGAAGGTTGGGGGGAGAACAATTGAACTGATTCTGGGTGGGTCACGGGTGGGGAAATTTACCCAATTTACCAACTTCACTCTGTAAGGCATCATAGGATTATAGTTAGAGCCATATGATTAATATTAACTCGTCAGCCCTGGCTGATAGGCCTGGACTAGATTATTTGGAAGAAGAGAACGTAATGGAAGAAATGATGGATTTTTTCAAGTAGTGTTTAATTTTACTGTTATTAAATCTGTGTGAAAGTAGCCACAGCTTTTGTTTGGAAAATATAATTGAAAGCTTCATCCTTTAATATGACTAAAAGATTTATGTTTTTCTTTTCTTGGTAATAATGTATTAGGAACTGCGGGAGGCGTGATAACTCAACAGAATATCTGGTGTTTTGTAAATCTTAAAAGGCATTGTTTTGTGTATATGTATTTGAATGGCATTTAAATGAGACGATCTGTAATTCTTACATTCCTAAGTGTTTTTTATTTAATTATATTTACTCTCGGAAGAACATTTTTCTTTTAATAGATAAAAGGTTAAAAGCTAAGGAATGATAATTATTCAGTTAAAGTATTTCATGACCTTCACATGAGATAAATCTAACAACTGAAATTTGCTTTCAACTCTCACTTTATTCTGATAGCATTTTCAGATGTTTAGTACATCTTTACCTCATTCTTTAATCATTGTGTGAAAAGTACACATTTTTAGTAAGTTACTTTGTGTGCTGTCACAAATGGTACATGTAACTCTGCTGGTCCCTGTAGAGACGTGTCTTATCTGTTCCCATCATGGAAACACTGCTTCTTTGCTCTTGGACTGTCACTTACCGCCTGCTGACCTCATGATGCTATTTAGTACTGCACGTGTGCAATAGTGTGTTAGACACGGGAGGGCTGTGGCACGTGTCGGTGAGCAGCTGCCTCTTGTTCTCGAGGATCCTAACGTAAGGGGTGAAGATGAGGTAGTTGTATATGTGGTCACTGTGTCATGGTGTGCCGTGCCACATGTGAGTGAGGTAGACTGAGAGTTGTAGCCGTCGAACTAATAGAGACATCAGGAGTATTATGGAGGAAAGTGATACGGAGATGATGTTTGTTTTCAGATGCTTTTTTGGAACTTCAGGTAGAAATGGAGACCCCCGGAGGTGCCGTCCCAGAGTTTGTAGAGTGGTAAAGAGGAGATATAAAGATTGGGAGTCATTCACAGGCACATGAGGGTTGAAACGGAGGATAGATGAGGCTAACTAGGGAAATAATCTGTAGGGAGAGAAGCAGAGGCTAAAAATAGGAAGTTACCGGAATTCGTGGAATGAGAGAGGGATGAGAATGAAGGGTAACATGACCTAGCAAATTAGAAAAAGGAACAATTAGAGCTCCAGGTGAGGAATCGGGATGATGTAATTTTGCAGACAACCCAATGGAGGTTTTGACAAGGAGGAAGGGTTAGCAGCAGCCAGTGCTCAGTGCTGTGCAGCAGAGAGGTGCGTATGTGTGGGGAGGGAGGGAGGGAGGCTTGTGAGGGGTGAAACTGAAATGTCAGTGGGCAGGCGGGGAGACAGTGTAGTGGGCCTGTGATTTCTTTAGAAAAAGAGAATTGTGGAAAAAACAAACAGTTCAAAAATTATAAAAAAAGAAACAAAACAGGTCTGGGCAAAAGAAATATTTGCTTCTAGTGAATGTGGCAATAGGGGAACCCTACTTTTGTGCCTGTCTGCCCCCTCTTAACGTTTATTTTGCCATCTGCTTACTTCTATTCTCAATTTTTTCTTTCTGTTTCTGGGTAAATTCATTCCTCATTGAACTAAGGATTTTATGATGTTTATTCATGGGCAAGGAAACAAAGTTTTTCCATACAGTTAACAAATGTACCATTACTGTGGACACTTCTTCGTCTTGCCAAGAGACAAGTTTATGTGTGTGTATGATCCAGTGTTTATTCTAATAGTTGAGTTATACTTTTATTGCATACTATTATTTTGTGATTTTGATTTTGAAAGATGCTGCTCTCACTGATGACAATTGCTGCCTTTTATTGTGTGCATTCTGTGTGCTAGACCCCATGATAGCTGTTTTCACAAACACCACTTCATTAAGTTCTCCTGGTTACCATCACCCCTATTTAAAAGTGAAAAAGCTTGGGCTCCAAAAACTTAAAGTATGGCCATGGCTGAACAGCTGGTATTCCCCGAGGCAGCCTTTCACTTCAAAATCTGGCTCTGAAGCCCTGCACTCCTGCTCTCTGTGTTCTGCTGTGCTGTGCCGCCCCTCAGTCACAGGGTAGTTGTCAACTCACAACCTTCCTTTCACTGCCTTTACCGACTATGGGCTTCTTCCTTTCTTGATAGTACCTTCCACTTGACTTTGGCGTTTGTGAGTGGTTAACTATCCTTTCCTTTCGGATTCCTCCCCTGTGTCTAATGGCATAGGATACATCACCCCTTACCGTCTCATGCACTAACCAGTTAGCATGTAACGGTGGTGGTGGGACAGATTTTCTCTGAGGTTTTCCTTTTGTCACTTTATCTTCTTTACCATACTTTAATGCCAGTAAGATACTTCCTCATTTACAGTTGCTGTGAATTATTTAAAGAGATTTTTTGTCTATTTGATTTGTTAAGCATTTCAATTTTTGATTGATCAAGTCTATCATATTAGGTAAGTTCTTTAAGATGTGTGGAAAATGGCTCTTTAGAAATCAGTTTGAGAAAGATAGGATTGCATGTTAATTTTTTATTCGTCTTTTTGATGGATTCTTTTTTATAGCACACCATATTGAGCATTTAGTATGCTTTCTATTTTTGTAAGATGAATTACTTAAAACATACGAAATTATTTAAAGTAATATATGCACCTTTGTACCAGTCTTGAGAAATAAAACATCTGTAGATAAAGTTGAAGCCTTTGTATTTCTCTTCCATTTACTCCTACTTCCTTCCTTCCCAGAGTGTTGAGTTTTGAAATTAAGGTTAATTGCAAAATTTTTACTTTCAGTATGCAAAATGAAAGCAATTTTCCCTGTGTATTTAAAATGTGGTATTTGTGATCTTGCATTTTTAAAACTTAAGACTTAAAGTTGTGTTTGCTTTAGAACTGCTTTTGATTAGTGTTTTTATTTTCGTTTGGTTTCCAGATGTCTGACATGTAGGTTAGAGTTAATGTTTATGATGTGTTGCTTTCATTCATGTCTTTTTTCCTTAAACAGAGTGCAATAGAGTCTCTTTTTGGAGCATCATTAACTGGGATTGCCTATTCGTTGTTTGCTGGGCAACCTCTTACAATATTGGGGAGCACAGGTCCAGTTCTAGTATTTGAAAAAATTTTATTTAAATTCTGCAGGTAAGTAGTAGTTATATACTAGTTGCATATGTTTGCATATGTGTGCAATTACATATTGCATTGTTCATTAACTTTATACATTGCATATTTAATAGCTGGAAAAGAATCTGATCAATGTGTGTATTTTGAGCATGTTTTGCACCACTGTGTGGTCAGCCCTACCCTGGACCCTCCACCAACATCCCTATCCCAGTCACTTAGAAATGAGGAAAACAAGATTACCCTTGAGTGTAAAATCAACAGGTTTGTGGAGACAAATACAGCTTACTGTAGTTAGTAGGCGTTGAATTTGGCATGGCGGATACAATTACTTTTGTGAGATAAATGCAGCTGAATATTTTAGCTCGAAACAGCTTGATGCTATTAAACATTCGATTTATCCAACTCCTCTAATTCTGATTATTTGCTCACTAAACCAGCTGATTCTGATTCTAATCTGGCATGTTACATAGGCTTATAGAGAGAGCGTGCAGTGACCTAAGGTATTTAAAACTCCATGACAGTAATTTCTTCTATGAAATTTAAAAAAAAAATCACTTTCTGTGGTTTAATGGTGATGGTGGAAGTTGTGGTGGTGATGGTAGAGACCGTGTGGACAGAGGTGTGATTGCCTAGTGACAACACAGCTTCTGGATATGCAGACGGAGGCAGGTCGAGTTCTTTCCTGTAGACTGACACCTGTCCTTCACTCCTCATGACTGATTTCTGAAGTGAGCCCTACGCTTTTTGAAATATTTACTGCCTAGTAGATTTTTGCTATAAATGTTTTATGTCAGTTTAATGTACTATAATATAACCAACCAGTCTGTTAATAAGAAGCCAGTCCTTAGTTGAAGCCAGAAAAACACACAGAGCTTTCTCTAGTGATTATTTTGTTGTTCTTTAATTCACGGTGTTCTTCAGAAATCTTACTTTTTTATGCTGTTCTGATTGTTTATTATGAACTTTTAAAGTACAAATGCTATTCTGCATGTATATGTTGATCACTTCCACGTTTTTCTTTCTAAACAGAGATTACCACCTTTCTTATCTGTCTTTGCGAACCAGTATTGGTCTTTGGACTTCTTTCTTGTGCATTGTTTTGGTTGCAACAGATGCAAGCAGCCTTGTGTGTTACATTACGCGATTTACAGAGGAGGCTTTTGCAGCTCTCATTTGCATCATATTCATCTATGAGGCTTTGGAGAAGATCTTTCACTTAGGAGAAATATATGCATTTAATATGCACAACAACCTAGATGAACTGACCACCTACTCGTAAGTGTTCTGTTTCCCCCTAATGCTTAGTATTAACATGTGTGTTTGCAGAGATGTTTGAACCTGAGAAAATGGATTTTTGCAATGGGATGCTCCCTCTGAAACTACCAGCTAGTCATTTGGGGGATGACTTTTGTCTGTCTCGTGTGAGATTTTGCCAAAGCACTGAATGGACATAAACACAGTTGGTAAAATTCAGTCGTCGTTATTCACTGAAGTGATTTATCCAAGAGTATGTATTTTGGTCTTCTGTTTGAATTGGCCCATTTAAATTGGATTGTTTGGCAGCTAACTCACCACGTCTTTAAATCAAGCAATTAAATTGGATCTTGTATTCTTTAACCAGTTCTATGTAGTATATATGTATATATTGTTATATACGGCTGCCCCTAGGTATCTGTGAAGGATTGGTTCCAGGACCCCCGGCGGATACCAAAATCCTTGGATGCTCAAATCCCCTGTGTAAAATGGCAGAGTGTTTGTATATAACCTATGCACATCCTCCTGTATAGTTTAAATCATCTCTAGATTACTTATAACACTTAATACGATGTAAATGGTACGTAAATAGTTATTATACTGTATTGTTTAGGGAATAATGACAAGAAAAAAAGTCTGTTTTTTCTTTCCCCTGAATATTCTCGATCCGTGGTTGGTTGAATCCGTGGATGTGGAACCTGCAGATATGGAGAGCTGACTGTATTCTCGTCACATTTTACGTATTCGTTAATGTTTTCGAAGTCTGATAATTTTTATTTAAAGTTGTTTTAAGGTAGAATTTCAGTACACTCTTGTGTGTGCTGTTTTATGGAGTGTTTTCTTTGTGATAAGAGAAAAAGTATGAAAGGAAAATCTTTTTAACTCTAGAATAAAATAGAATTTGAAAAGTCATCTGTACATAGTTACAAAATGTTGGCAAATAATATTCAATTAGAAAGTAAAATCGGCCATTAAAATTGGACGTATCTAGGCAGGTGCCTGTATCTGCCGTCTAGGAACAGTCGTGTATGGTGTAAATTTGTATTTAGCATGTTGTGCGCCGTCAAGTTGATTCTGATTCGTAGAGACCCGGGAGGAGAGTAGAACTGCCCCGTAGGGTTTCCTAGGCTGTCGTCTTTAGGGGAGCAGGCCACCAGGTCTTTTCTCCCACAGAGTGACTGGTGGGTTCTAAGCACCAGCCTTTTGGTTAACAGCCAAGCGCTTAACCACTGTGCCACCAGGGCTCCTTTGATTTGCTCACGTGTAGAAATGTGGTGATTACCAAAAAAGAACAAGGATACAGCTTCCCTCCTTCTACCCACATAAGCCCTAAATCTATGTAATCTCCCCGTTTTCCCTGAATCTTTTCCTCCTTTTCCTCTGCTGTCTCTTCCTGGCCTTCCTTGTATACCCTAAACTTTGATGGACAGTGTGGGAACGGATGTGGGAATTCCTATAAAACATGGACCTATTTCAAAATACTAGTGACGCTTTGATGCCAAAATGTGCTGTCTTCTTTGCTCTTAAACTAGTTGATTTTTTTTAAATCTTACTTTTTGGCTTCTCTCTTTCCCTGCCCTTTTCTCCTCTGACCTTTATAAAGCATGGCTTCTATAGCTAGTGCCAGACAGAGTGCTGTTTCCTTCTGGATAATTAACTGAGTAACTACATGTGAACACCATTTAGCTAAACTCTTCATTGAGTATACATAAGCGCTGTGCTAGGAGCATTACACAATTCATATCCTAGTGTTCCTTAATTCACATATCCCCTTTTGTGTGTGAAGAAATCGAGGCCCCTGGAGGCCTTGGGTCAAAACAAACAAATAAAGCCTGGATTGACACCAAAGGTGATCCTCTGGCCCTTTCTCAAACGGCTTATAATCTAATTGGGAATATTCATATGTTTATTTCTTCTTTTCATTTTTTAAACCCACGTCTAGAGTTTCTTTGCTTAAATATGGGCTTCCAGGTTTTCCAGGCAGTTGAGGTAGTTCTGTGTACGAACTGAACGTTTTCAGCCCTGGCGGCGCAGTGGTTAAGAGCTCAGCTGCTAACCAAAAGGTCAGCAGTTCAAATCCACCAGCTGCTCCTTGGAAACCCTATGGCACAGTTCTGCTCTGTCCTCTAGGGTCTCTGTGAGTCAGAATCGACTCTATTTGGTGTTCACGCAAACATTGTTCTGTTCGTTGTCTCTGTTTATTATTTCCATGTGTTGCAACAGGAGAAAGAAGTTAAGCAGTTAAAAACTACCATATTGTATAATTGCTTTACTAAAATGTAAACATGCAATGCAGGAACCCTACAAATGAATCCTATTCTAATTTCTCAGATGTGTATGTATTGAACCTCCTAACCCTAGCAATGAAACGCTAGAGCTGTGGAAGGAAAAGCACGTAACGGCTCGTAATATTTCCTGGGGAAATCTCACCGTTTCTGTGAGTATATTACAGAATAAAGGATTTTGCAAATATATGTTAACCTGGTTCTTTTCTTTAGCTTTTTCTGATTAGACCTACATTTTCTTCTTCGTCCATGGATATTAATATGTTTTCAGAATACAGTATTGTTGTTCCCAAATAGGAGTTAATCACTTTTTGTCTAACATGCACTAAAAAGATAGGCTGAAAAGAAGGAAGCTGGTAAGGGAGATAAAAATGGACTATATTTGACTTCCAAGATGTAATTATTAAAAAGATGTGACTATACCTCAGGTTTCTGATGCACTTAGATTAGATTGATAAATTCAAAGGAATTGTTGACTAGGATTATGGTTGCACAGACTGGAGTTTACAGTTATATCAGCCTGTATCCAGTTGTCTGTCTATCAGGTCATCTGCTCCAAGCACATCCTAAATGTTTAGAAGCTCATGAGTGCACTGCTCATGCCCTGAATGACTGAGTGAACCTTTTCTGCTTAACTCAGAGAAACTGGTCTGACTCAGACACTAAAGAAAGAAAAAGGGAAAAGACAGAAATATGCAATGAGCATCTCCTCTACTGAATAATTTATTTTTACATACATAATGCGCACCTTCTATGTTTGTTTGCCAACCATTCCCCCCCCCCGTGTTTTTTTTACACGTTGCTATAAAAAATTTAGCATAGCGCACTTACGAAAATACCTTGCGGGGGGCGGCATAGTTGGCAAACAAACATAGATGGCATGGCATGCGTTATTTGCATGAAAATATGGTACTACTATAGATGCTTTGTATTTTGTTGGGAAATGTTGCCTTAGTCCTGGAATATCCCTGTTTTAGACATTTCCCAGGTTGGGAATTAGGAATAAAGATGTAAAGTGATGGCAGCAGTATCAGAATTAGCACTCAGATCCCCTGAGCTTCTCTGGTGCTTTTTATATCATACAAACAACTGTAGGTCATTCCTTTCTCACTATAGATGATAGTTAGCCCCTAACTGTATAATTTGAGGGATATCATCTGAAATTTTATCCCACTGATAATTTAAGGCTGCACTGTCCAGTACAGTAGACATTAACAACATGTCTGTTTAAACTTATATTAACATTAATATAATTATTAATAAAAATTTATTAAAAGTTTCTCAGTCACACTAGCCATGTGGGAAGTGCTCAGTCACTTCACGCAACCACAGGCTGCAGTGCAGATGTATAACAGTTCCCTCACCACAGAAAGTTCCATTGGACAGTGCTGATGTAAAGCATTATGTATCACTAATCCATTTAGATTCATGCTCTACTATTTTGTCTTTTGTAAAGTCATTTTTGTTATGAAAGAGGTAGAGCTAATAGAGTTGTTCAGATGAAAGTGATATTTAAAAAAAACATCTCATGGTGGATGGGTAAGCTGTCTTGTTATTAAAGATGTAAGGCTTTTCAGTGTGTTTCCTTGATAGCCAAAAGGGCCATGATTGTTTGTTTTGTATTTGTGGCTTTTCTTTCTATGACCTGCGTTGTAAATTTGTAGGTTTACCAATCTCGGCACATGGAAGCTGAAGGTTCCCTTTTCTCATTTTATAAACTTGAGTTGTCATTTTGTTAAAATGAGCCTCATTGGAATATAAGAAAGAAAGAAATGGGTTTTAGTGGCATGTACTTTTGTTAATTTCTAGTTGCCTTGCAGTTATTTTTCCCCCAAAAGTAAAATCAAGTAAATATATTTCTATAATGGAATTATACTATGCTATATGATTGATTATCTTAGGTTACTGATTTTGTTAATGGGAGTGTTTTATTAGTCAGTCACTGCTTATGATCCCATGCTGTAATCCCAACGCCTTGGATTGAGTCAGAATATAGGTGTCTGTAGTATTCAGTACATACACAGTGGATGCTCATTACGTGTTTTTGTCCTTTTCCTTAGTGCTTGAGTCAGTTTTTATTGCTGATTTGAGTTCTTATTCAGCATTGTAAAAAGGCAGAGTAGAATTTCTTGTCTACTTTTTGTATTAAACCACTTGTTAAGAAGTAAAGAGAGTAAAACTCTGGACCAGCAAGAGGAAACATTTGCGAATTAATATACTTACCATGATTCTTTCACTAGAGGAAATATGGGGTTGAAAGAAAGGAGTGTATGAAAGAACTTGGCAAAATACTGTATTTGAGTGATTTAAGATGCACATTTTTGTGAAGTGGTAATGTCTCTGAACTCATATGTCCTACAACTGATGATGTGTTAAATAGTTGATGAGGCAGTGTTTTTTCTTTCTGAGTGAAACGTAATGGTGTGTCTTAAAATCAGCATCTTAGCATCTTAGAGTCAATGAAGTTCATGAGTAATTTATTAGATATTTGAGAACTCTCTCCATCCTCTCTTTGTTTTTTCTTTTCTTTCTTTTTTCCAGGAATGTAAAACCTTTCATGGTGTGTTTGTAGGATCCGCTTGCAGTCATCATGGACCTTATATTCCAGATGTGCTCTTTTGGTGTGTCATCTTATTTTTTACAACATTTTTTCTGTCTTCATTCCTCAAGCAATTTAAGACCAAGCGTTATTTTCCTACCAAGGTAATTGGGAGTTCCAGTTAATATTCATGTTTTTAGTTTTTATTTTCTTAGTTTTTTTTAAAACATTAATATATTTTTTAAAGTTAATAGTTATCTAGTGCTGCTATAACAGAAATACAAGTGGGTGGTGTTTCAGTAACATTAACAGATGCAGCCCATTCCCAAATGGGATTACTGTATTTTTATGCAGATAACACAAGTCTTCTGCATTTGTTTGCCTGCTGAGCCCTCCCCGATGAAGTATTTTCATAAGAGCCCCGTGCTAATTTTTTTTATAGCAACTTGTGGAAGAGGATTGCCATGGGTTCCTTACAGGGGGTGGGGGAGAGTGTGGCTGGCAACAAATGAGGAAGGTGCACATTGTTTGTGTGAAAATAATGGTATCACCGCAAGCATAAAGGTTAGGATTTATAACATGTATTTTTTGGGGGATACGGTTCAATCCATTACATTCTATCTTTGGCCCCCAAACTTCAGTACTTCCCACATTGCATTCACCCCGTCACATCGTCCCAAAGTCTGAAATCAACTCCAAGTCCAAAAGCTCATCTTCTGAATTATTTAAATCAAAGACGGGTGAGGCGTTAGGCACATTCCATCCTGGGGCCAAATTCCTGTTTATCTGAGAACCTATGAAATTTAGAATTCTGTCTCAGTTATCTAGTGCTGCTGTGACAGAAATATCACAGGTGGGTGGCTTTAACAAACAGAAACTTATATTCTCACAGTTTATGAGGCTAGAAGTCCAAATTCAGGGTGCCGGCTCTAGGGGAAGGCTTGCTCTCTCTGTTGGCTCTGGAGGAACGTACTTGTCTTTTCTGAGCTTTTGCTCCTGGGTGATTTTCATGTGGCTTGGCATCTCTCTTGCCCCGTCTCTACTTCTCTTGCCTGTTTAATTTCTTTTATATCAAAGATACTGACTAAAGATACACCCCGCACTAATCCCGTTCCATTGACATAACAAAGACAACCCATTTTCAGATGGGATTATAACCACAGGCGTAGAGGCTAGGATTTACAGCACATATTTTGGGGGGACACAGTTCAATTCAGAACAATATGCCAAATAGTTATGAGAAGTTATTCATAGTGGGAGATGTGTAATATATGTCTGAGCTCGCAGTAGAAAAATGACGGTACTGTGAGAGATGGTAGGTTGTGAAATGTATTACCTTTTAAGAAAGAATTAGATAGAAATGTATTTCCCTGATAGATTTTCACTAATTGAAATCCCCATTCATACTTCTAGTGGCATATTTTAGTTGTGAAAGGTGTAGATTCTTTAGAAAGGACACACAGTATTTCTATGTTTGTATTAACACGATGCCTTTCCCATAGGTGCGATCCACAATCAGTGACTTTGCTGTATTTCTTACAATAGTGATCATGGTTGTAATTGACTACCTTGTAGGAGTTCCGTCCCCTAAACTGCATGTTCCTGAAAAGTTTGAGGTAAGGCTTAAAACACGTGGCTGTTTGTTACAGGGAATACCAAACGAATGGGGGACGCTGCCCCCTAAGTAGTTATTTTAAAAATATGTATGATCTCTTTGAAGAACTGATGCTCTGAAAGGAAATACTATATATATATGTACATATATAGATCTATATATATTTCTCACATGTATAAAAAAAAAATGACATGTTCGAAAGGGACAAGTAAGTCTATTTAGGAAATAAGCCAGAGGGTGTGAAAGCTAGTTCATCAGGGAAAGTGAATGAAAATAAGCACAGTGAAGAGATGGGTGCCATTTCCAAAACGTGACCCTTCTCACAGCTCTGGAATTCTTGATGTACCTTCCAGGGAAAAGCAAACAGCTTTTATTCCTTTGTAAAGAAGTAACTCAAACTGGACTTGGTCAAAGTGGCAAGGAGACCCTGTTAGAGTTTCTAGAAGGGTGATGTATCTGACAGTAATTGGAAAACTCCATGTAACATTTTCTGGCAGAATCAGGAGAGACTCAAATGTGTTATTTTACAAGAAAAATAATATTTAATCCAAACATCTACTTGAGTCCTTTGCTTTCTTTCACAGTCATCATATGCGTAGTATACAATCCAGTGACTGTTTTCTAAATGGAAGACAGTAGCTTTTGAATAGTTGCTATCTTGGAATTGTTTTTATAGTGAAGTAATTACAGTTATATATATGTATAGATGTAGATATATATACATATATATAATTTCTTTCTGTATTTCTCCCCCCTCCTTTATAACTTCTCTCCCTTTGTTTTCATCCCTTCCCCTCTGTTTATCATCGTATAGTGAAAGGGAAAACTCATTTTGAGTGGTGTCACTGCTTACAAGCAAATTATCTGACTTTCTTTAGAATCAGAGGGTTTAAAGGGAATCAGAAATAAGAAATATAATGAAGATAATTTTAGTCTGTTTTGCCTTTCACAGAACAACAAAATATCAAAAAATATATTATTTTTAAAAGCTGTGGCCTCGAGTAGGGTACATGGGTGGAAAACGATTCAGCAAAAATACTACTGTGTGAACTTTACTGTGTCGATAACCAATAGTCATATAAAATGCGAATGACCCTAGAGTCATTGGGTGTATCACTAGTCTGCAGGGTCCCTAAAGCAGTTTAGGAATTGATCTAGTAGGTAGACTGATTTCACCGCATGTAAAGTACGTAGGAGCATGCTGAAATGACACCCTACCTCACTTACCTATTCCCGCATGACACACCTCCCCAGAACGTAATGCCTTTAAACAATAGCCCTGTATTCATAATTCTGGGCAGTGAGGCCCGGCCTCAGCTGGGTAGTGGTCTGGTCTGAGGTCTCATGCAGCTGCAGTAACCTGGGGGCTCTGTGGGGGCAGCACGGCCTCATTCACATGGCTAGAACAGAAGCAGAAGTTAGAGCAGAAGCTCCCAGGTTTCTTGAGATTGAGGCTCAGAAATCACAGTGTCACTTTGGCCTCATTCTCTGGGTTAGCCATCGGGTCATCCCAGATACCAGGAGAGGGGAAATAGACTCTACCTCCTCATGGAAGGAAACCCTGGTGGCACAGTGGTTAAGAGCTATACCTGCTAACCACAAGGTTGGCAGTTTGAATCCACCAGGTGCTCCTGGGAAACTCTGTGGGGCAGTTCTACTCTGTCCTGTAGGGTCACTATGAGTTGGAATTGACTTGATGGCAATGGGTTTAGTTTGTTTGGTTTTCTGCATGGAAAGAGTGGCTAAGTCACATTGCAGAGGGTCATGCTTCTAAGGATGGGTAATTTGCTGTGGCCATCTTTGCAAATAATTCATCCTGCAACCCAAAACGTAATCCAGTTCTTTCCAATACCTTGGCATTTCTTGGACTAGATCTAGTCTGTGCTTTGGAAATTTTGTGCAAGGGAGGAAGAAAACTTTTTCTTAATATCTTTAATTTTTTTAACAGCCCACTTACCCAAATAGAGGCTGGATCATAAGCCCATTGGGAGAAAATCCTTGGTGGACCTTACTGATAGCTGCTATTCCAGCTCTGCTTTGTACCATTCTCATCTTCATGGATCAGCAAATTACAGCTGTAATCATAAACAGAAAGGAGCACAAATTGAAGGTAATTTTTTTTATTTTGCTCTGTCATTATAACTTCTTCAGGGGTTTGGAGTATTTTCATAATGACTGGAATGAAGATATAAGAGGAAAATTTGTTTTCCTCCCTATTAATTGTATAGAGTTTTAACCGGAAAGAACAATTTAGACTTACAAGCACTCATACTCATTTTACTTTTCAGAAAGGAGCCGGCTATCATCTTGATTTGCTCATGGTTGGTGTTATGCTGGGAGTTTGCTCTGTCATGGGACTTCCATGGTTTGTGGCTGCAACAGTGTTGTCAATAAGTCATGTCAACAGCTTAAAAGTTGAATCTGAATGTTCTGCTCCAGGGGAACAACCCAAGTTTTTGGGGATTCGTGAACAACGGGTTACAGGGCTAATTATTTTTATTCTAATGGGCCTCTCTGTGTTCATGACTTCAGTACTAAAGGTAAAATCTCTTTATTATGCTGTTTTAAAATCTTCTTTATCATAAAGTTTATACTTCGTTATATAAAGCCGAAACATTAAAATAAACTGAATATCTAAAATTAGTTTCATTTTGTAGGATTTACTTGGGAAATACTATTTTGATACGAGTTTTAGTATAGTGGGTCTGTCTATTTTAAACATAATGTGAGAGAGTGGTAGTAAAGACTGTATCTAGTTTCAAAAGGAGTGAATCCGTGGTTAGTTACCATCTGAAAGGATAATATACCCAGAGGATTTTGTGGGCATGTTAGAGGAAGCAATATTGAAGGATGGGTGAAACTCAGTTATTTGATGAAAATGTAAAAATAGTATTGCTCTTAATTAAATTCATGCCTTCTTCCTGATATACTAAGTGAAAGAAAAGTAATAAACACTCATTAGAAAACCAAACAAAAACAGCTAATGTTATCAGTGAAGCATATAAGAAATTATACTTTGTTAATCATCTTTTAGTCACATCTGATTTTTCACTAAACATTTTCTACTGAATCTAGTGATTTTTAAAAAAAAATAAACTATAACCATAGCTAATGTAGCTAAGTATCTAATTAATCTGAAATTTATAAACACTTTTCATTTTGTAAACACCTCGGCCTCCTTTCATGGACTTTTTTTAATCAACCACCTGATTCTAAAATGCTGGAGTACTTTGTGTGTTGTTAAGCTCTGGGGCAGCAATAGCAAATAGAATACATTGTTGTCTCCCCTTTAGGATTTGGCAGTTTGGTTGGTGAAACAGTTAGGTAGATGGGAAATTTCAGTAGAGGGTGGTAAGTGCAGGGCTAGGAACACTTGGGGACAAGAGGGGAAATTTTTAGTGCCTTCTTATGGGGATGTATTTCCCTACTGATGAAGGTTGTCATTTATGTTTTTAAAGTAGTTTGATTTTTTTTTAGTATTAACTGCATGTAGTAGAAAATAGAATATGAAGAAAGTTCTGAAATGAAAAGTTAGCCCCCCAGTTTCCCTCACTTCCAAAACCAGCTCTCCAGAGGTAAACTCTTTTTCTTCTTTGCTTGTTTTCAGTTGTTCTGGTGGAGGGAAAAAAAAAACCTCCTTGCCATCATGTCGATTGTTTTTTCTATTATATACGTATATATATATATAGTGAGCCCTGGTGGCTCAGTGGTTAAGCACTCGGCTGCTAACCGAAAGATTGGCAGCTTGAAACCACCAGCTGCTCTGCGCGAGAAAGATGTGACAGTCTGCTTCTGTAAAGATTACAGCCTTGGAGGTCCTATGGGGTAGTTCTACTCTGTAGGGTTGCTATGAGTCAGAATTGAGTCGACAGCAATAGGATAGATGGATGAGTGGATGGAACCACCACTCATCTGTCAGTTTGTCTTACTGTAGCGGCTTGCTATATGTGTATGTGTATGTGTATGTGTGTATATATATATGTACACACATTTACATATATATTTTATATATGTATATATAAAATCCACATAAAAAGTTTTGTGAGGGGCTTCTCATAACTTTCGAAGAGTATAAAGGGATCCTGAGACTGTAAAACATTGGTCTTTGACTTCCATGTTATGTCTTTTGTGAGGAGTTTATTACACTTAAGTATCTTCCATCTCCCCCCTCCCTTACAACCCCTGCTTTCTGTTGGCTATTTTTTAAGTTTTATTATTATTGTGAAGGTTACTAATATTTATGTTCTGTGCTGTTATTAGACTTCCCATGCTTTTTCTCTAAGTTAAATTATACAAATGTAAACCCTGTAGGAACACATAAGCAATACTGTGATGATAGAAATATTCTCTGAAGTGTGATTGGTCTGTGTGGAGGCAGAAATATACCTTATTTCACTGTGTTCCTACTGCTTAAAGGATTACACTCCAAGCCTCAAGACCCAATAAATTTTCTTAATATCTGTGAACTTCCCTTCTTAAAGATTGTTTATGCGGGTTCCACTTTTTCTTGGGTTCCTTTTTTGTATTGGTAAAAGAGCTCCATAAATTTTTTTTTAAACATATAGTACCATGGGTCATAAACTTTCAGAATTTTTGCGCGTTTCAGAATGTCTTTATTTACTCTTTCATTTGATCAATAGTTGGATGTAGATTTCAAAGTTTGAAATAATTTTCCTTTGGGCCTTAAAGTCATTGTTTCATTGTTTTCTAGACACCAGTGTTCCTAATGAGAATTCTGATATCTATTTCGTTTTTGTGCCTTTGGAGTATTTTTTTTTTTTTCCTTTCTGAAAGCTACTCAGATTTTCTTTCTACTCCTGGTGTTCTGAAATTTCACCGTTTAGATAGGTAGCTTAGGTAAGTAGGCAGATGGATAGATGGGGACTTTTCACTTACCCAGCTTGTCTCCCTGTGAGTCATTTTAATCTGGAAACTTGGGCCTTCGGCTTGGTGAGTTTCCCATTGTTTGTTGCCTTTCCTCTGTTCCTTCTGGATCTGTTCTCACATTCCTCTCCCCCGCCCTCTCTTCACTACTACAGGAAATTCCTTCCATTTTCCATATCGTTATATTGGTCTTTAGTCTAATCGAAGCCACCATTCTAAATTGTTTTATTATTTTGATAGTTATATGTTTAGTATACAGGAGATTTTTTTGGTTCTGATTATTCTTTTTTCCTAGTATTCTGAAACTGCTTTATGGATAAAATTCTCTTGGAGTTCCCTGAGATTATTGATTAGATATTTTGTAACCTATTTCCTTCTCTTGTGAATTATTTCTTTTTCTGACAGAGTCTTTAGGACGGATGTACTAGGCTGGTTAGCACAGAGGTAGTGGACGTGGGTGTCCTCTACAGTTGTTAGGTCTGTTTTCCTTATGGGTCTCAATCTTGAGTCAGAATGCTTATTGTGGTTTTTGAGTAAATGGATGGGGCCTGTTGATAGCCAGGCTTTTTGGTAGGGTGTCTGGGCATGGACTATCTGGGATCCTCAAAACTGCCAAAGTGATCAGGACTTCATTCTGGGAGTGGAGTTCAATTATTATATTCAGTAAGTGGTACTGTATATAACATTCATTGTTGAGGGTAGTGATGGTAATAATGGCAGCTAACATATTTTGAGTGGTTGACATACACTAGGTGCTTTTCTGAGTGTTTTGTATGTTTGAAGTCATTTAATCTTTATGAGAATCCGATGTGGAAACTGAAACACCGAGAGGAGAAGGATGCCTAAGGGCTGAGTTTTGAAAGCAAGTAGTTTACGGGGTCGATGCCCTTAACCTCTGAACATTTACCTTCTTGGGAAGGAACACTTAGGAGATGAACAGTTTTCAAGGAGGTTATTTTTTTAAATTAGCATTTTCCTTTTTATAGAAGGATCTATAAAATCTTTCTATAAAAAGATCTAGTCGGTCTAGTCTTCGTCACTAAAAAATCTAATTTGATCACCATAGATGCTTACCATGTTTTTATGTATTTATTACCATGAAATTATTTTAGTAACATGAGTTCTATTTGTGTCTTTTTACTTTCAGTTTATTCCAATGCCTGTTCTGTATGGTGTTTTCCTTTATATGGGAGTTTCCTCATTAAAAGGAATCCAGGCAAGTCCTTAGTTTAATGATTTTATAGAAAAACTTATAAATATTTTAAACTTGCAAAGATTGTTCTTATGATAGTAGCAATTTATTCTTGACCCTTTGATACTTTGGGAGCAGGTTCGTTTTCTAACTGGTGACTTCAAATCCACATTTGCCAAGTGATTGTTGCTTACTGCACTTTTTTTTCCGCTAGAGAATGAGGTCATGAACTGGATATGGTCCTTACCAAATTTCATTGAAGACGGTATAGAAGAGGGAGGAAGAATCAAAAATAATCGGGATGGGAAAAGAATTACTGTTTTTAACATGTAGGACAGCAATTTCAGTGCTTTAAAAAGAAAAAGTAGATATTAGTTTCTAACAAAAAATAGTAATACCTGCCGTTTTTATGGCACAATACAGTTCATAAAACCTAGCACAAAAATTATTTTTTGATATCTTCCAGACAGCATAGGAAAACAGCAAGGGAAGATATCCTAATTTTGTAAATCAAGAAATGGAGAAATAGACCTACTGAAGGTTGTTAGCTAAGTAAGCAACAGAGCCAGAGCTAGAACCCAATGCTTTCACTACTGGGTGTTGTCTTATTTATAATACTTCCTGGAAAACAACCAGATACAGCCTGTTAAGATTTGTATGACTCCAATTTTAGTTTAAAACATTTAGATCATATAGCTCAGTTGACACCACGTTTTTGTAAGCGACCCTGCTATTACGAAAAGCATGTTGTCCAAGGTTGTCAGCTCGCGGCTGGTGGCTTACGAGGGTTCTCCAAGGCAGTGTCTTTATTTTTTGAACACAGTCCAGGATCTGCTGTTCATTGGTCAAGCACAATCTCATTATCTCACTTGGTTTTTACAATTTTGTGAGGTGGGTAGAGCTGATCTTATCCTCAAGTTATAAATGAGGAAATTAAAGCTCCAAAAGACCAAGAAATTTGCTCATAGTTTTATTTTCAGTGAGCAAAGAATTGGTAATTGATACCTCATGTTATTTTCATAGAATTGGGAAGGTTTGACTTGGAAAAAACTTTATAAATCATTCGAGTTGTGATTCTTGTATTGTACGTATTAGAAAATAAGTTCAAACATTATATGGTGCTTGCATTTGATTATAACAGATAAATTTATCTAAACATTGTAATCCCCGAAATTAATACATTTTAGCTTGGGTCTTCTTTTAAATTAATTGCATTAATTTCTGATTAATTAGGATTTTCTTCCTTGGATCCATAAAATATTTCTATGCTGAAATATTCTCCTGTACAGTCAGACCATATCAAGGAAATTACAGTTTGAATTTAATAACACAAAAATCCTAAAGTAGCATATAATTTCTTTTCCTAAATAGCAGAAATAGTATTTTCATTGAAAACTTTTTCTTGTTTTTCTATTCTGTTTATAGTTTTTTGACCGCATAAAATTATTTGGAATGCCCGCGAAGCATCAGCCTGATCTGATCTATCTTCGCTACGTGCCGCTCTGGAAGGTCCATATTTTCACAGTCATTCAGCTCACTTGTCTGGTTCTTCTGTGGGTGATAAAAGCTTCATCTGCTGCGGTCGTTTTTCCCATGATGGTAAGATTTTTTTTTTTCCCCAGACATATTTTGTCGTTAATTAATATTTTTGTGTTTTGATAGTAATTTTTTATTAATATTTACAGTTGACTTTGACAAAAGGAATAGCCCGTTTTAAGCACCTTGGGTGTTTGGGACTTAAGATTAGTTGTTTCCAGCTATAAACCAGTGGTTTTGCCAACGGAACTTTCTTGTCATTTTTTTTTTTTTAAGTCCTTGGGATATAGAACTCAGTGTTTTATCTTTAAATGACTTCAGAGTTTAGGAAGCTTACGGAACAAACGTGATAGCCACATGTCAACAGTAAAACAGCCAGAAGAACATGGTTTCTTTTCCTGGGTATTTTAATACGTCTGCTTCAGAATTTGACAGATCTAAATGTTAGAAAGTTATTAAGACTATACATGATTTTAATAAGACCATCAATATAATTCATTAAATTTTCACAGAATATTGCATTTCACAAACAGAGAATATTCATTCTTTTGGAAATTCCATGTAAAAATTGGTTGTGTACATGCCACAAAGAAAGTTTTAAAGTAAAAAGCTGTAAAAATTATACAGGGCATACTCCCTACTCACAGTTATTAAATTACAAATAAATGATGAACAAGTCACTCAAATAACTAAGTATTTGGAAATTAAATAGAGATATAATAATCCTTGGATGGAAAACTGGGTTGTAAAAAAAAATATTTCAAAGGTATTGAAAGAAAACTTTGCAACAAAGTCTAAGGGATACAGCTAAAGTTATAGGAAGAGGTTTAGTAACCTTTATGTCTTTATTATTCAAGACTTAAATACAACCAAATTTTTTTATAAAGACTGATAAGGGTTAACCCCTCCCAAGCCTGAGTAAAGAAGAAAATAAGAGAGAAATACACAAGATTAAGAGGGAGAAAAGAGATATGGCCACAAATATGGAAAATATCAAGAGGTTTTAAGAAAATGTTATGTGCACTGTAGCAATAAATTTAACATCCAGAGCAGGCATCAACAAATTTTTTTCTGTAAGGGGCCAGATAGTAAATATTTTAGGCTCCATGGGGTATGAAGTAATTACGTATATACTTACATAATAAGAAACAAAACAAATTTACGTTACTTTTTATTGATGAGGTTTAAAAAAAGTAATTGTACAATTTCTTAAAATGCAGGTCTGTTAATGCGAAGAATGGAATTCTTTTTTATTTGGGATAGCATTTTAATTAAGTGGAGTTTAAAATTAATGTTCCCCATCATCAAATCAGTTTTCAAATGTTCATATGTTGAGACCATTCTTATCTCATGGGCTATCCAGAACGAGTGGTGGACTGGATTTCGACCAGTGGCTGTCGTTTGCCAACCATAATCTAGAGGAAATGGATTATTTCCATATGATCTGTAATTTCTAAAATTATCCCTAGGAGAAGTATAAAACTTAGATATAATTCGGAAAAAAGATAAAATCTACCCTTAAAAAGAGTACCAGGCTCAGATGGATTAACAGCTGAATTTTAAAGACCAGATAATTCTAGTTACTTACTGAATTATTCAAGAGGTTTACATTGTAGTTGGAGAATGGGATGAAGAAACTAGGTAGAGAGGAAATAGGGAAAGTTAACAGAATACAAAAACAAACATTAAAGTAATGTTTAGTGTATGAATAGAATATACAGTGAACATACAGTGGCATCTTGAAGTGTCACTGGAAGCATGTGTGAATATGGACATAGTCAATAACGACCAGAGGTAATACCAAACCAACCCAAACTTGTTGCCTTGTAGTCGATTCCGACTCAGCTACCCTATAGCACAGAGTAGAACTGCCCCGTAGGGTTTCCAAGGAGCGGCTGGTGGATTTGAACTGCTTATCTTTTGGTTAGCAGCCAAACTTTTAACCATTGTACCACTAGGGCCCTAGAGGTAATACAGACAAATAAAAACATTGAATTAATCAGGTTGAGAGCATTGTGGGCAACTTTATTCTTGGATATTGGTTGTTACTTTAAATGTAGTGTTTGCCATGAACTATTTTAAAATAAATTTATAATGCTTTTCAATTTGTATATTTCCGAAAATACCAGATTTTTACTGTTTTAGTTGTTCAGCTGTTGAATTGTACTTTGATTGAGACAGCTTCTGTTCTGATGACACTAAGTAGGGGCTTCTCAGACTCCTGGTCAGTCAAAGGTAAGGAAGATGCTGAGCCTCGTGCTGAGTAGCCTTGCGGTCGTTTATTTAGTACTTGCTGAATGCAGTGCAATATGAATAGAAACAAATATGGTCTCTGTTCTTGACAGTCGTAGAGATTCTAGCGTCTTTTTCCCGCTGAGGAGTCATGGTGCATTGTGAATGTTGGAGTATGCTGATAGTTCTCGATTGTTCGGTTAGTTCCATCGCGTTAGCCTTGAGACATAGGTTTAAAGACCACAAACTTCAGCCAGAAATGCCCCAAAATCTAAGTAAGAGGAGGTCCTATGTACATAGTGAGACCCCTAAGAGCTGCAACTCCACGGGACTGTCTTGTTCATCCGGGTCTTGCAAGTTTTTCACCTTTGACGGGGTGCAGTCTTACCACTTTTCTGTCGCTTATTTTAATGGAAAATATTTGAGTTTTCCTTCTCTGACAGGTTTGCGCCTTGCACAGGTTCTGGCTTTCACAGGTTTTTGAGTATTTAACATCCTTCCCATAGTATCCATGTGTAGACTTTCACGTATGATGCAGGAGGAAGAAGACTGTGCTCACCTTCTTCCACTAAAACGTGAAGCTTGAAGCTTATAATTGCTGATTTTTCTCTCTATTCCTTCTTACCTTGATAAAAGTACAAAGAATAGCAAGGGAAAAGTTTTTTAAATTATATATGCTTATATAATGTGGGGTTGTCATGAAAATTCATAATCTTTTTTACTGTGATGATACTCAGTATTCTTACCTTGCTTTATAATTGTATGCAGAAGGCAAGGGATTTATTTATTCGGGAAAAGGTTAAGGTTGCCATTTCCTTTTTTCTCCCTTTATAGCTATTATTTGAGAAGAAAGTTGAAGAAGATAAGTAGGTGACTCAGTTCTTTTGAATTAAGATGGTATATGAAATCATTTGTCAGCAGATTATATGAACTCCTTTTATACTGTCTGTAAGGTTTAATATTTTTTGTTTTCTTTAAGTGAGTTCTCTTTAGGTGTTGCTGATAATCCCTTTCTCACTTTTTTAAGGTTCTTGCACTGGTCTTTGTACGCAAGCTCATGGACCTGTGTTTCACAAAGAGAGAGCTGAGCTGGCTTGATGATCTCATGCCAGAAAGTAAGAAAAAGAAAGAAGATGACAAAAAGAAAAAAGAGAAAGAGGTAAACAGCCCAAGAATTTTAAATCTACACCATTCACTTGATTTGTATGCTGCACTGCCCAGCAGGTCCTATTCTAATCACTTTATATGGATTTGGTCTTTTAATCCTCACTAGTGTAGGTGTGATTATTATCCCCATTTTACAGATAAAGAAACTGAGGGAGAGAGAGGTTAAGTCATCTGTCCCAAACCCAGGCTCTTAGTCATTTCACCATCTTGGTTTTCTGTTGTCCTGGCACAAGAATACTTTTTAAAAATTATATATCACACTGTACTTTTCAACAAGCAGAAGTATTTGAGCTTTTTTAAAAATCCTACGTTCTAGGCTATCATCTCATTTTACCTAAAAATACATAAATACATTTTTAGTGTATCTATTAATTTTAATAGAAATTTAATTATCAGGCCCGAAAAAAACAAACCAAACCCCCATTGATGTCGAGTTGATTCCAACTCATAGTGACCCTATAGGACAAAGTAAAACTGCCCCATGGGGTTCCAAGGAGCGAGTGATGGGTTCGAACTCCCAACCCTTTGGTTAGCAGCCACGCTCAAACCCCACCAGGCCTAGGTAATGATAAAAAGGCCTTTAAGTAAATACCTTTTTACAAAAAGTATTATACAGCTTTAATCTTTATATGCATTATTATGTGTCAGTTGATTTGTCTGCTGAGGTTAAACATTATTACTTTATTCTGAATTTGAGATTTTGTTTTGTTTTTTGATAACTAACTCAGTGCCATCACTTAATAAGAAGGAAAAGCAGGTGCTAGGTTTGTAGCATAGATGGTTGTGTTGATTTTAATGCCTAATTCAACTTTCCTGTTCAGAATATTCTTTGAAAATGAACGATAAGAAGAAAGATACACACTTTTAAATGTCACGGTTTTAAGTATAAATATTAAAACTACTGGTTTTGTTTACTTTTCAACAAAAATTATGACTCTTCTAGTTAGAATACCAGTTAGAATATGAACTTGAATTGAGATGCCACTATTTTAAAAATGAGAATTAATTTTTCTTCAAAGCTATATTATATATGTAATTGTTTATGAGCGTTTGTGATTTTTCAAATTGGATTGGATATAATGTACTTATAAAAAATTTAGGTATAATTGCCTGTGGATTACTTCCTGTGTCAGTTAGAATGAGGTTCAGTGTCATAAAACAGAAAAAAATAAAAAAAATAAAAATGGCTTAAACACAAGGGTTTATTCTCTTATGTACAAAAAAGTCCTGAAAGTAGGTGAAGTGATGGCCCCAGAGGGCCATCAGGAACTGAGTCTGCTGTGTTTCTTCTGAACCATCCTCACCACAGTTTCCATTCTCAGGTTTACCTGATGGGCCAAGATGGCTGCTGAACTCCAGCTGTTTGTTATCATTAGAGATAGGAGGAACGAGGAAGGGGGAGAAGGAAAAAAGGGCTTGACCTAGTTGTCCCTTTTTAAGGAATCTTCCAGAAATATCATCCAATAAGTTCTGTGTACACCACCCAGCCACACTAAGTTGCAAGGAATGCTGGGAAATGTAGGGACTTGTCCCCCGTTTTTCCCAAGCTGGGCACATAGCACCTGCAAATGATGAGAGTTCTGTTAGTAGGGAAGAAGCATGTGAACGCTCGTCTGGAAACAGTCTCACCTATCCTGCCCTGCCCTCCGTCCCCATTGCTGCGTTACAATTTTGGTCTGGTCCCCGTACCCTTGTTGTTCACAACCAGATTTTCTCCCCCAGGGAACGTTTTGCATGTCTGAGACATTTTTGACTGTCGTAACTGGAGGCGGTGCTGCTGTCTCCTAGTGCATAGAGGCCGGGGCTGTTGCTAAAGACTCGACGTGAACTTAACCCCTACAACAGAAAATTATCTAGTCTTAAATGTCAGTATTGCTGAGGCTGAGAAACTCTGCTTGTCCTTATGAGATTTTCCTCGGATTGTGATGAAAGACAGGAGATTTCACCTGCGTTATAATTGATAACCAGATTTGTTTCTATATCTAAACTGCTGTTTAACTAGTTATCTAAACTTACAGAAATGGAAGGTATACCATTTAAAAATTATTCTTTACAAGTGGTGGTTTTCATTATATGCTACAAGCAGGTGTTCATAATAAAATGAAGTACTCAGTCATGGGCAAGTATGTTATATTTAAATAATACTGTTTGGGGTTTTCATTCTTTAAGATGTTATATATTAATTTATCTTCCTGAAAATATTCTGAGAAGAGTAATTGTTTTGCGTATGTGCTCTAAAGGAAGCTGAACGAATGCTTCAGGCTGAAGACAGTGATACCGTGCACCTTCCATTTGAAGGGGGAAGTCTCTTGCAAATTCCAGTTAAGGCCCTAAAATATAGGTGAGATATAAATTTTATTTTTTTTAATGTGTTTTGTGTACATGTTAACTGCATGAAAAAACCATATATAATGTTTCTTTACGGACTTTTGTAAATTTTTAAAAAGATGATAAAATCTGCACCTGGCATATCAACTAGAGTAGGGCTTCATGCAATTTGAAAAGGAATCGCATACTCCTTTTCTTCCCCACGCGGATTATATTACAGGCAGGAATGAAGAAGAATCTGGACTTGGACCAGACCCTTAAACTAACTTCCATGTCAAGCCTATGAGATTTACTTTTAGTCCATCATGCCATCTATCTTAGTGAAGCTTAAAATCAGTACACAAGTCTCAGAATACTCCCATTCTCTCGGTAAAACACCATTGCTGTTAAGTCAGTTCCAACTCATAGTGACCCTATAGGACAGAGTAGAACTGCCCTTGTTGGGTTTCCAAGGAGCGGCTGGTGGATTTGAACTGCTGACCTTTAGGTTAGCAGCCAAACTCTTAACCACTGTGCCACCAGGGCTCCATAACGAAGTGGAGAGATTTTAATATGTCCAGCACTACAGTGCTCTGCTTCGCGAGGCTCTGTATCTGTTGAGTGAGTTAATGTGTTAACTTCATTGGCTGCAGATAGGAGCCGCCATGATGCCTTAGTGACTGTCACCAGTTTGCTGAGATGATTTGCCACGTAATTTCTATGCCCTGCTTTGTCACTCTCTCCATGTGATATTACATGGTCCTTGACAATTTGAGTGGAGTCTGTACTGTCTGGTATTTAACAAAGAGTGAATAGGTTATCTGTATTTTTACTCTGGTCTTTTAAGTGGTGCAATGAGCTGCTATTAATGCTGCTTTGCTTAAAATTTCAACATCAAGAATGCCAGGAAATTACTGACCTGTTTATCTGCCAAAATTTTAAATCTTAACTAGCTTTGGATTACTTGCTATGAAGATCAAATGAAATAATACATGGAGGCTTTTGGAAATTGCGAAGCCCTATAAAATATGAAAATAGCTTATTTAATGTAGGCAAAGTTTTTCCCTTCTAGTTTTATTTTGGGGAAAAAAATGGAATGTATACTTTCTTAAAGAAAAATCTTGATTTCTAGTAATAGAAAAGTTCTTATTGAGAAGAGGACATCTTGAAGCTAAAACACTTCAGGAATAATTCCTCTCTTCAGTTCTTTGAAGTTTACAGCCAGACAAATAAACATTTATTCAGGGTGGGCATAGTTTCAGGTTGGATGGCTCTGCCGTTTGTGAACTTGGACATTCCAGCTTTGTGTACTTTCTAAAAATTGACTTGGCAAAGCTATAGCAGCCGTTTCTGTAGACCCTTCAGGGACTATGTCACACTTCTCTGCGATCTTAAATTTTAAACAACATTCTGATTTAAAGCTAGCAGTTTCTAGATGACTGCTGTTTAGTCATTTATGACCTAGCTGCCATCACATTGTGAATTTACCATTATCTGGTTGGACATTTGTTATTTGTGTGTAGCTTGTTTGCATGAAGTGTTTTTCTTTTGGCTTGCAAATATCTTTACATTAACTTCATGTTACTTTCATATTACCTGTGACGGATGGACAGCCTCGAGTGCAAAATTAACAGTTTATGTATAGCGTCATTATTGGGCCTGGAGTCTTAAAGTTATCTTTGCAAAATTTCATAGACATAGAGAAATGATGACATTTGTCCCTTACAGTGATAAAAGGACAGTATTCTGTTCTTTTGATTTTGATAAATTTACATTAACACCTTGACACTAAAAACGTGAGTGCCAGCTAAAAATAGTATTTTGTGTTTTCGTGTTATCTGTTGAAATATTTTCAGAGCTTTGTTTCCAATTTTAAAGTGTCACATTGCCTACTGTTCTAATTGAAAATTTGTAAAAGGTATGAAAATCAAGGTTTTTTTTTTCTTCTTTCCTGACCATAATCTTAATTTTTCCTTACATTCTTCAGATGTTTATTTGATGTGATTGGCGTTTGTGCCTATTTTGAAAGGTTTCTAGTTGATTTGAGGCTGTATTTATTTTATATTTGTATTTATAAGCACATTAGTATATTCTTTTATGCTATTTCAGCAATACGCTTTAATAGCCAAGATGATCATCTGTGGTCATCATTGCCAGAATAATGTAATGCTAGAGTAATTGAATTCTGAAGCAAAGGTCCGCAAATAAATCTTGCCCGTTTAAATAATCTTACTCCTAGTTTTGATTATAAAGAAAGTTCCCTGTGTAGCCTTTATAACGGAATGCCGCAATTCTGATATCTTTCTAAACCCTAGTTTAAGTGCCCAGCAAGAGATTTTTCCATCTGAGGTTGATGAAGACAATGTTATATAGTGTGTCAATATTATATAAATAATACAAATGACAATATTAATGCTTTTGCAAGTACTGAATACTAACCAGCAAGTGTGTTTGTTCTTCAGTGTTGACCCCTCAGTTGTTAACATATCAGATGAAATGGCCAAAACTGCGCAGTGGAAGGCCCTTTCCGTGAGCACTGAGAATGCCAGAGTAACCCGAGCTAACACCAGGTAGCTGTAACTCTTTACGCCTTTTATAACTGTAGCCAGTTTTCAAATTACTTAGAGATAGCTACGCAAGAAAAACTTCATTACCTCATTTATGTTTCCTTTGCTTAACAAAACCAGCCTTCCTTCCCCAGCCTGCTTTCCTCCCTCCCCGCCACCGTTTCCCTCCCTGCCTTCCATCCGTCCATCCATCCAGCCATCGTTTTATTGTGTACTGGAATCAGCCATAGGTTATGTTTTGTTTTTTTGTTTACACTCTGACTAGTTCAAAGAAAGAATTTGAGACATTTTATAATACCAGTGAATATATATACATATAATAGCATGAAATAAATATATAAAAGATTAGAAACTGTATAAAGAAAGATAATTCCTAGGGATTAAATACCTAGTTTTGTTGAACACCAGCCTCAGTCATGCGCTCTCTGATGGTCCAAGAAAAAAGAAAAACTGGATTGTTTTCCTTCTCAAATTTCTGTTTGTTTTTTAGCATACCATTTTTTCTTCACTAACATACATTTTTGTTGAAGATATTTCTGGAAGAAATTTAATTCATGAGTGTAAAGGCCGTTCAGTTTTATAATGGACCGTGCGCATGCATTGAAACTATTATGTAACCTCTTCCTTATACTTCTCGTTATGTAACCTTTTTTTTTTTTTTCTTTCTTTAGTCCTCGCTTTAAGGCCAGAGCCCTCGATTCTACCTTGATAATCATCAGTATGTTAATCTCTTAGGTCTCTGGAGCATCGAGATATTGTCCTCCAGGGTATTCAGTAGTTCCTATTTAACAAATACTTATTCTGTGCACACTTTGTGCCAGATACTGTGCTGGCTGCTGATGTATTCTGCTTGGGTGTCAGATCAAAACTCTTCTCTAGGCAGGCTGTCGTGTAGTTATTGATGGCTGGTAGCTGTCCTACTGAGCGCTGTCTTTCGATAAACATTGATTAGCTTTTTCTCATTCTTTCCTTATCCCCTTTTAGAACCTTTTTCCTACTTACTCTGTATCGTCATATCTTTTCACTTTCCATCATTACTACTTGAGTTCTAATTCCCTGCTGTTTCGTTCTTCGCTCTATCTTTGATCTTAAAAATTTTTTGTTAAGCTTTGTCATTTTGTATCAGTTCTTCATTCCATGCAGCCTGAATTTCACTGGATATTCTTCTTGCTATTAGCAATCTTTCATACCTTTTCAGCACCCATGGTCCAGGTTGTTAGTATAGTTATGATAAAAATACCATACAATCATCTCATCGTATCTGAAGTGAGGGATTGTCTGGTCCATGTCATTTAACAGAAAAACGTTAAGAGGACTTTCCTTCAGTTTTGCCTGGAGAAGGCAGCAAACTATATATACTTTTTGAAAATTTTTTTCTCAAAATCCAGATATTCATGTGTGACATTAAATCAGTCCATATACATGGAGTCATTTGCACTTAATATTAACTTGAAAATATAAAATATGTGTGTTGATCATGTATTTGTGTTCCAGATTTGGTGAGAGGAGTTTTGTAAATTTGTTATCTATAGCAGGATATTAATTGATACTTACCTGTATTAGCAAAGATTCATTTGTTAATGGATTTGCCAGTGAATTAAAAGTCAAACGCTACAGTTCTGTTCATACATTCCGTAAAATTAATAAATCAAGCATAGTCATATATTGACCAGTTTTAAGGAGCCCCTCTTCAGTTGTAATAAAAACAGGAATTTCAGTGACAAACATATTATTCAAATAAACTTCAGAACATTTTTATATTTGCCTTTCCAGTTAAGTTTACTGGTATTAAAAGAAAGCTGTAAAGTAATAATACCAAGTCATAAGTTTATATTGCTAATAACCATCTCAAAAGGCTTCTTATAGATAGCGGCCACATTTGAAATTTAATATTTGTTCATTTTGAAACCATTTATTCTTATTTTTTTGTTTTAAATAGCCCTGAAAAACCTGAGAGTGTGAAAATAAACTTTGAAGATGAACCAACAAAGAGATACATGGATGCCGAAACTTCATTATAGAATCGAACCAAGAGAAATTATATATATATATATGTATATGTATACTGTGTGTGTGTCACGTCACTGTACATAACTATACTGTATGGCACGCTGTTCATGCGTGACTGCTGGGTTTTTTGAAGTAGTGTCTAAAGTTCATGAGCACCATGGAGACTCTGTGTGTCGTGAAAATGGTCTCTTAAAAATGAGGTACATGATTCTTACTATTCAAATATTTATTCTGTTAGAATTTTTCTTTTTCTGTTCTGCAATAGAAAGATGTGGGGAAATGCATTCGACCTACTTTTCCTTCCATCTGTCTGTTCACCAGTGGCAATTCATATCAACCTTTAGTGACACGTACTTTATCCACATATTTATAATTTTTTTACTCGAGTTTTAACTTGTTTCTGAAGATTTTCATGTATTCCATCACTTCGGTTAATGCTTTATGGGAAGAAGTCTGTATGCCGGTGCTGTGGGACAAATGGTAACGTGCCGCGGCTTTCGTGTGTGTGTGGTTCGTTTATGTAGGTGTCTGCCATGTTTCACAAGCAGTGGGACTTTTTTGGCCATAGACGGGAATGTAGAACAATGGCAAAATTTCAAGATGAGAACTATAGATTTGACCGTTAGGTTTTAAAAATATTTTTTTAAAAACCCCTGAAAACCTGCATATCTAGGGTTTCATTTTAAGAGATAAGTAACATTGCAAGTGACTTTACAATTTAACCCCCATACCAGTCATAACTTTATGAATTTTTGAAGCTATAAGATGCCAATTTGCTGTAGTTAAATTTTAAATGTAGCTGCCTGTGTAGAATTTTTCCTGAATTCTTTATTAGATCCTAGGATGCCCACACTGTTCTCCTCTCTGCCTTTCCTGTCTTTTACTTAAAATGGTTCAGTTTGTATCAGGCTCAAGTTCTTGATTATTTTTCTGTTATAAGTAGTATGATGAAATAATCAGGAGTCAGAATTCTCTCAAATGGGTTTATGATCAGTATTAACTCTTTGCTACTAAGAATTACCCTGAATTTTCTGTTTACGGTGTTATTCTTTCTGTTGTATAGAATATGTTTAATAGTTCCTTACCCGTGATTTCATTTTAAAATACTTTATTTATTTTAATATGATGCTTAAATACTATATAAACATTTGATAAGGTAACAAATACAGAGTAAATTGTTAATGTGTAAATAGATGGTGCTCACTGCATTTATGATTTATGATCTGAAAGGAGGTGATAGATTTTACATCTTTGATATAAAGTACTGCCATATTTGTGTTTTCAAAGGAAATTTGATGTTTTATGTACAGCTCAGATTGATGGCGTTCTTCCTGCTTTGTTCCGGTATTTGCTGTCTTACTTCGATTCTGCTTTTCTGAGCTGTCTTTTTAACTTTCAGCTCATCTTTTTAGTCATCTTTTATATACTCTTAGCTCCCCATGAAATGAATAGATGTTGTTCTTAAGCCTGTAGGACTGGATGAATGGAGTTGTGAAACTGATTTGGCAAGAGACTAATTTACAAACACCAAGTGAGTATTGAGAAGCCACAGAAATATAAAAAACGGTGACAGGAATATTGGAGAAAATTTTAATGAAATTCCCTTTAGCATCTATAATTAAAGTACAAAAGTATGACAGATTGATCCCACAGAGGATCATGAGGAATGCCAAAAGCTGATATTTTCACAATTCTGAAGTGTTTAATTCATTCTAAACTGCTTATTAACTGACTTAATTTCCCCATCTGAGACCTGATTTTCAGATTCTAGTTAAAATAATGGATTCAGCTTCTGCCTCACATGAGAGGCTGGAAATTTAGCTGCTTTTCTTTGGAAAAACATAGCTGGCATCACTGCCTGAAAAAGAGACTCTATTGGCAATTGATGTAGAGTGTTACCCTCGCTGCTTGTTATTGTTTATGAGCCTCCAGTGAAGTGATTCCTATTTATTCGTAGCAGCATAGTCATTTCCAGACACCCCAGTATTTGCTGCTGTTTTTTAAATTCCCCTGGTTGTACCTGAGCAAGAGAATTCCTCACATCATTTCCTTGTGTCTGGACATCAAAGGGTTAACAAACGTACTTATTTTACAGGAAGTGATTTTAAAATTTAAACTGAAAACTACCTGGGATCATAGTGTTTCTGTGATTTTATTTAATTATGTATAGTAATTACCCAGTGTCAGAAAAACCATGACTTGCAAAATACTTTGCACTCAAAATGTTTTTACAAGGTTTCTGATTGTTAATGGCTTCTACTTTCTTGTGACTACTTGACTTACTATATGATCTGATATGACTACTTCATTGAAGAGCAAAGGTAATTCATGGTTAAGTAATTAACTGCTTGTTTTACATAGTTATGGTATTTTTTCCACTATTTTTGAAAAATAACAATCATGGATAGCATTCATTACAAGACAGTGAAGGATATAATTTGGTTTTTAAATATTGCCTTAAATAGGTGTAAGTGTGCAGTAGTAATTGCTATGTACTGATTTACCTCAAGGTGCAAAATAATTAAACCTGTACATATTCCATTTACAAAATAAAATCAAACAAACAGCCCTGCACTTTCTTAGATGCCTTGGTTTCCAGGGATGGAGCTTAGTGCTACTGAATACCCTGGCCACAGAGCCACCTCAGGATCGCCTTCTCTCCACCCTATTTTATTTATTTATAGACGTCTGTTTACATAGACTATAATGAACCCTGATGTTGACTATCTGAATTTTACTTTCTTCTCAGTGCTGTTTCACTCTAAAATAGCAGCTTTGGAAAAAACAATGAGCTAACTTCCTTGTGATAAAAGGGTGATTCTCTGTGTTCTTTAATAAATAGATATACAGAAGTGAAGCACATAGTCTTTCTAATGCGTGTGTGTGTGTGTGAGCGATGTTCTCGATCAGTTGTTTAAAAAAGTTGTGGCGTACCAGTGTTCTATTTGCCAAGTCTTCAGTGAGACGTGTAGGACAGAATTTTGTATGTACTAATGCATGTATTTATAAAGCAGATGTCTTTACCACTCAAAATCATTAACTTCTTTTCTCTCCATCCAAAAAGAAAACATTTCTTTTTCTTCCATATACTCAGAATTTATGTGTGTAGATAATAGCTTTCTGATGTTTTTCCGCGCACAAGGCAGGCTCAAAATCGTGTAAAAACAAAGAATGGTTTCTGAAACTGAGCTGTAACAGCCGAGCTTGCTGTTTAAAGGATTACGTCATGTGCATTGTTCTGGAAACGTGCTCAGCAGTGTGACAGGTGAATCCTGTGTTAAAGTGCACAGGTTTTGGATGTGTAAGCCATTGACAGAACAATGTAATTCACAGATGTTTATATTAAATAACAGTGTTTTAAATTTATTTATGTAGATCTCATCATTGTTATCTTATGCAGTACCAGTGTGTGAAATGTCTTCTAGTCTAGTCCAGCCATTATTTATTTCTTAGAAAGTAAATTTAAAGATTTAACAGGACATTCAAAGTTTGAAATGGTGTTCAAAATGCAAAATGTGGCGATTTTAATGTAAACTCGTCTTCTTATCTTTCAAAAAGTGAAATAAATGTCAATTATAGGAAAACATAGTTGGAAATGGAATCATCTAATGATTATTTTTAAATTAAATTAGCGTTTATTGACTTCTACAACTGGCTTAAAGTAATTGTCTAAACCCCAATTTGTTGTTGTTGTTGTTTTCAATCAGATTTATTGAGATTTGATTGGTTTTTGTGTTGCGGCTTTTCTTTTGTTGCTTCCTTACTCAAGGTTATTTGTTGTTGGTTTTTTGTTTTTTGTTTTTTTTTGCGGGGATGGGGAAGATGTGATTTGTTTCCAGTGTTTACTGCATTTAAATAAACAGATTGAATTTTATTGTTCCTTTATATAATATTTGATAACTTGAGGTGTAATTTCACAGTACAGTTCCAATTTTTATGACTTTTATATTTACAATGGTAATTTTTTTTGTAATGAAATCCAAAGTAAATTAAACATTTTAAATGGAGAACTGATATTTTTCATTTATATGAAGTACAAGTCTCTAACAAGTCTATAATGTGAATGATCCTGCCTTTCAAATTTGTTTCATGATTGTTAGAAGAAAACTATTTTTTGGAAACATTACTGAAGTTCAAAAGAGCAATAAAAGTCTACTGAATTCGTTGTTTGTCATTTCGTTTCCTTTGTATTTGGACTGTTGGGAGACCTGTAGATCTTTCTCAGCTTGAGGAGTTGCAAGGGATAAAGGAAGAAGAGTCATTCCTATTTCCTGCCTCCTATGAGTCGGAATCAACTCGATGGCAGTGGGTTAATATTCATGCGGAGCCCTGGTGGCGTAGTGGTTAAGAGCTCAGCTGCTAATCAAAAGGTCGACAGTTCAAATCCACCAACTGCTTCTTGGAAACCCTATGGGGCAGTTCTACTCTGGCCTGTAGGGCTGGAATCAACTCAGTGGCAGCAGGTAATACTCACGTGTTAGTTGAAAGAAGACAGAAAAGAAGAAACAGTATGGAAAGAAGATGAAACAAAATAGAGTGTGTTTCACAATGACTTTGATAGTTGAGAAATACGAAATTTTATAAAAATCGTCTGGTCCTTTCTTCCCCTATCTTAGGATGCATCTGTTCAGGAATTTTGCTATGTCATGTTTAATGGATTGTGTGCTAATAATGACCTCTGACAGACTCAAGCCTTGTTTCGCTCTTGTTTTTAATGGCTAATTTTATTATGAATGTTTTATAGCGAGGGACAGATCTTGGTTTGTTTTCCATTTGGCGTGTACATAACACCTTCCTCCTGTGTCTTCTGCTCTGAAACGACTTTGGTATCTCACCATGAATTCAGTAACCTTTGGGAGTGTGATGAAGAGAAAAACTTAGGTTTTTGGAAAATTCATTAGAAAGTTTTATTTATATTTACTTGAGAGAAAAAAACCTTAAGTCAATTTATAAGCCCCATCTACAGAACTTTGAGGCATTTTTTTTTTAGGAGAGGGCAAAAGGAAAAATTCAGTTTCTCATTCCTTTCTGTTCTTGCCCACCAAGTAATTGTTTAAACCCCGATTTGTTTGATTTTTTTAAAAATCAGATTTATTGAGACTTGGTTGGCTTTTGTGTTGTTACTTTTCTTTTGTTGCTTCGTTATTCAAAGTTGTTGTTGTTTTTTTTCCCAGATGAGGTTGAGGAGGGAAGATATGAATTGTTTCCAGTGTTCACTATGTTTAAATAAGTAGATTGAATTTTATTGTTCCTTTACATAATTTCGGTAACTTGAGGTGTAATTTCACAGTACGGTTTGAGTTTTTTATAGCTGATCTTTTGAGTGTCTAGTCCTTTCCGTGGATGACCTTTACAAGATTCCTCTGTCTATGCTTTTAATGAATACATTCCTCTTGTTTGGCAGATCTTCCTTTCTGCTTCTCTGCTGTTCTTTCAGAGCTCGATTTAAGTTCTACTTTTACTTCAAATTGTACTCTGCCTTCTGCTTCCTGTCTACAGGATCAGTGCCATTCCTCCACTTGGGGTGTGTGTGTGTGTGTGTGTATTTAAGTACCCTTTTTTTAGTCCTAGATCAGTTGTTAACTGGGACCTTTTAGAAATTTGATCCTGTTAAGTTGATCCTGCATATTTCTTTTTTTTTTTTTTTTCAGTACCAATAAGTCTTTATTCATTATATTTTCCCAGGGAAAAGAGACAGGAAGGCAAAAGGATCGGCATGTGTTACAAAATGATAGAAGAGAAAGGAAGTACCCAGTACAGCAAAATCAACCATCAAATAAACATACCCCAGTGATGAGGGTCACCAAAGCCCACTGGGGCTCACAGTCCCTTAGTTCAGGAATGAGGTGAAGGCACCAGGGAAAGAACAGACAGGTATACACTTTCCTACCCTCCCTCCCTCCCCATAAATTCAAGATTTCTCACAAAGCTTTGGTTTCTAGCAGTAAACATGGAGTTACATTTGTCCGTCTCCTATATACAATCTTGTGGCCACTTTGACATAAGTTTCTTGCACCTGCATAAAAGTCCGTGAGTGACTTGGAAATAAATTCATCTTCCCTTTCTTGGTCTCCCACCCCCACTTCCTATGTGGAAGCCCCTCACTGCTTCTGTCTACTCTATGACGGGAGATTAAGTAGCTTTGGTCCATCCAAATACTAATAAGTTTTGGCATGAATCGTACCAAGGACTGGCCTTGACTCAGAAGGCTGGAAACGAGGGATGGACTATTCCTAGCTTCTTCAGGTTTTCTGAACAAAAGGTTTAAATGTTGTGGAGACATCCCCAAAATTAAATGTATGTGTGGCTTTCAGGGGAGTGCTGGGGAGGACGTAGGGTAGGAGTCAAATTTTTAGGACAGAAGCTCTAGTTCAAAAGAGGAAATGGGAAAAGGAACACAAAAGAGGATGGTTCAAGGCCCCCACTTCAATAAGAAGGGTTCCCAAGCTTATGTTTCAAATCCTTTTGCCTGGTGCATAACCTTCTGTCAAAGATGCTTTGGCTATTTTTCTTTCAATACAAAAGTTGTAAACAATAAAAACCCCAAAAGAACTAGAGAAAGACCAACACATTGTATGTACAGAAACTAGGCCACCTAGCAATCACCAAATCAGCGACTTTGT